AATGATGTGGCATTTCATTTTAAAAAAGAAACAAAAAATAAAAGGAAAACAAAATGAAAAGCCTAAGAATTCCTAATAGACTATCGCCCTCTGTCCATTGGAGCTAGGAAAAACCTGCAACCCAGTGACCAAGACTATGTCATGCAAATGTCAATTTCACGAGTGATACTAACAACAATTTGACTCTGTGGACCTTTTTAAAACTATTTTCTAAAGGTTGAAAACTAAACTATCCGTTTTTAAAATTTAGGGACTAAATAAATCTATCCTCAAACTTAGGACAAAAAATATATTTTACCATAAGTTTTATCGCTATATAAATCAATATATGTCGATTAATATGTCAATATTTAGTGGTCAAAAGAAAAATTCGGAACCCATTTTTTAATTGAAATTGAAATTTTTAATCTCACAAATTCCCATTTGAACAAGTGTTAGATATGGAGTTTGCCATGTTCTAAAAAATCCCTCATATTTGTTCATTTCACTAAAAAAAATTGAAGGAATTTCAAATTTAACAACTTGCTATTTCAATTTTGTTATATGAAAATAATAAGAATCAAATGGGTCTTTTTCTCTTTTAATTTTTTATCGAATTTTTGTAAAGGATTTTAAGTTGATTTAGAGTTGGAAAAATTGACCCCTCCCTAGAATTTGCTTACAGCTGTGAGCAAAACAATCCAATTCTACGTCATCTTAGAACAGTTAAGTGGTAACCGTTCAAACGACAATGTGTTTGGCATACCTTTTAAAGTACTCATAGAGAAATAAAAATATTATTTTAAAAATTGAATCGATTAAAATTACAAGTGTGACAATCACTTTTTAAATAGTCTCTAAAGTGTTTCCTCAAGAATCGTTTTTTAACCAATCAAAATTTAAAAAAATGTTTTGTATGTAACACCAAACACTGTATATAATTATTAAAAGCACCTAGTCATCTAAAATCATTTAAGTTATACAAACATAGAACTTATAACACAACACAATATTACTTAAAATCTTTTTCCTTTTTCAAAAGACATTTAAAATTCAAATTCGTCCAACAAATAGATCTTAATGGTCAATCTGCAAATCATAAAAATAATAATAATAATAATAATAATAAATACATATATCTATTAAAAAAGTTAAAATTTTTGGATTGTTGTTTCCTACCTCCAGGAGCCACTTTTGAAATATTATTCAAAATTCAAACCCAAAAAAGAAAAGTTAGCAAATTGAGACAGCAAACTACAAAAAGAAAAGGTTAGCCAACAAGCCTATTTTTCAAAAAATAGAAACATTTGTAAAAGGCAATATCGATAAAATATCAATGTCCAGTATTTTTAGAAAATTTATAAGAATAAAAAATTCGTAACAGATAAGTATTTTACAGAAAATATAGTGATGTTATGTTGATATTTTTTTATATTTTGTCGAGTTTTTTGTGATACTATAGAAATGTCGACACGTCAACAGAAATTTAATACCCCGAGGGGCATTGGGAACTAAAGGCAAAACGTTAAAGAAGATAGGAGTGGGGGCAAAAAAGGGCATTTTTTTGGGTATTAAACAGAAACCATCCTTGCTGTGTTTGCTTCTACTTTGTTCCTCAGCATAGAAGATGATTACAAAGACCCCACTATTTTTGCACATTGAAGCTAATATATTTTATACATTAAACTTATCAAGTGGGGCATTACTTCACATGGTTACTCCACTGGCAGTTTGATATTTCCATCATTTTGGCTGATTTGGGAGATTCAAAAGCTTGATTTGGCCTGCATTTCCTCCTCATTCCTGTTATCATTGAAGAATCAATGGGGACATTTATTCAACATAGAAAAGCTTGGACAGTAGAGAAAGGGTTTATTCGGTATCCTATCCTGTTTCGGTTTCTTGTTTTCAGATTTGCTTGTGGTGGTGAATTCACTAGATTTCGGATTTTTGATGGGTTTGTTTTTTTGGAAACACTGTATTTGGATTGTATGACTCAGAATGTGAGAAATTTTGACTGATTTTCGGTGTTTTCAGATTTGTAAGTTTGCTTCCGAGCAGTAAAAATATGGAATACAACTCGATTTTCTATTTCATCCCTTGATTTCATATTCCTAATTTTAGATCACCAACTAAACGGATGGTTCTATACCATCTAAGTACTTTTGTAACTACTTCTCCTTTCAAATGTGTATTTTAATCTTCGAGAAGCTTTCAAAAACTTTGAGAATATCTTTATCTTTTCTCTACACTTGACCTATTTGTTAATTTGAGAGAGTAAAAAATATACTCCTTGATTCAAACATGTAACTTAGGTCTTCTTATATAGGAGAATGACCTACTACAAACAAGGAAAG